TTCCATGTTTTGCAGCCCTGCAGGTCCCAGCGAAACTCACCTGGGTCCAGGAAAACCAGGAAGAAGCTGAGGCCAAGGGACACTTTCATGCTGATGGGATGTAAGCACAGGGAGCTGCCAAGTCTTGCTGAACACAGCACTGTGTGCCACAAGGGCTTTATAAACTGGAGGAAAAGAGGAGGTTTTGGGGAAGTGGAGGTTGGGGAAGTGCTCTGAAGAATATAGATACTGCAGAGCACTAGCACCAGTGTTTGGTTTTTTCATTTAAAGCACAAGTGCTGCCTTTTCCTCCACATGAGGAATGCTGTTTGCCTTTCGCAGTCTAGACTACGCAGCCTGTGGGGAAAGACTGGCTTGCCTGGGGTCTATCAGGTATGTCTCCAGTGCAGACTTTGTTTGAACAACATTCATCCTCTGCCATACATATGAATGACAGAGAAGAAACCATTTGAACAGCCCTGTTGTGCTCTCACCATTAGGCCCAAAGAAGCAACGTGTAGCAAGGGCCAGCTGGGAATTTTCCTCATGGCTGAGTTTGTGCTGGCTGGTTTCCCACCTCCCTTCCCATCAGACAGTCGGGAGCTCTCATACCCTGAGTACAGCGGCAAAGCAGGGAGCTTCCTCTCCAAGCTGGCGTGCAGCTTCTGTTTGCAAAATAACTGCCAATGCACACCTTGGAGCAGGCTCAGTCAAAGGTTCTCGGGGTTGAATATGTCAGAGCTGCAACACGGGTCCTCCAGGGTGTCTGTTTTGATTGGAGGTTGATAAAACTCGGAAGTTGATAGTAAAGTCTTCTGTTGTACCTCTGGGTTTTAAATCAAACCAGACAGCAGGGAGAAAAGATCAATGTGGCTGTGAAACAGCCTAGTCATGGCTTAGGTAATGTTATGGCAAGTTTTCCACGCACTTGAGATCTCATGATGAGCTAATGCCAAGCAGCAGTGACCAAGATGTCATCGGCCCAAAGGTTCCCTGCCCCATGTGAAGACTTTATTATAACGTGCTGCCTCACTGAAACTGTTCCCTACTCTGAAAGGGTACCCTTCCCTATCCTCTATACTCCTGTCCTGCAGCAGATCAGACACAGCCAGTTAGTTTATGGTCCTCCAGGACTTTTTCCATTGACAGCAGCAAAGAACTGAAATACCCTTGTGCCCCCTCTCAACTGCAGTATCAGCTCCTTGGGCAAGACACTGCTCCAGGCAGACTTTTTGCTCTGCAGCACATCAGGAGTGCTGAGATCATCTAGTCTCCAGACACAAGGGCAACCCAAACAACACGTCCTCTACAGCAGGGGCATGCAGACCACAAACAGAGAGATAATGAATCACAAATATGAGGTGCAAGGGCCTTCCAAGGCTCACCCAGTCTTTCCCACTGCCCTGGTCGGCTTTATCCCAGAACATCTGCCTGTGGGGATGTGTCATGTAGCAGGGAAATCCTGTCTGCTGGGGAGGGAGTCTCACCTTGAACCTGGCAGGGCTAGGTGTTTGGTTGAAGAGCAGAGAGGGTTTCACTGCAGATGCCCAAATGAGCTAAGCGCTGCTCCTGGCTCCACCAAGGACTTCCTGCAAACCCATAGAGAAAAATCACAGATCTTGCTGATCTTTCCACTTATGCTTTTGCTTTTATTTTCTGTTCTTCTCTCCCAGCTTACTATTTGCTTTTCCCATTTGGGACTAGCCTCATCAGAGGAAAAGTGGTTTTCTGATATTTCCAAATACATTGTGTAGTCCAGTGGGACCTCTTCTTAGCTAAGCCCAAAGCACTGTAAGAATGGAAATGAGTGCAATCACACTGGATAAAACCCTAGGTCCCCAAAAGTCCAAAAAGCTGGTATCACAAGAAAATGAAGGAGAATGATATTACCTTGAATTTCTTTTTCATCTCAGAACTGGTCTCATGCCACAGTAGATACGTTATAATGAAGTCAAACTTCTGTCTGCAGCCAGTCCGGGATTAAAATTCATTCCTCATTGGTCTTAAACCTCAGACTGAATAAAACCCTGTCCCCAGGCAGGGGTACTCAGATCAGGGTGATCCTGGCACTTAAATACGCGTGGGTCTGCAGACACAGATAGGGAGATGGGTGGATGTGGCTGTCTCTGGTGACTTAAATCTCATGCCCTTTCATTTAAGATGATTACTGAAGTGCCTGGGGGATTTTCTCTGAATGACATGACTGCACTAGCCTCATTGAATTGTATTGAACTCACCTGTTTCCCACCTCTCGTGGAGAGAGGGTGTGAAGCTGCAGGCTTTTCATGTGCATTTTTAGAGATGAAATCAAGCGTAGCAAGGAGGAGCCACAATCTGCAGCAATGAGAGACCTGGAAAATAAGACTTATGAGAGAAGATGGAAACAATAAAGGCACTCAGGGGATACCCAGTCATGTCACGTATATCTGCAAAAACAAGGGCTGGATAGGAAAAACTATAACAGGAAGCTTACACTAGGCGTTGGGGGAATCTTCTAACAGTGACAATAGCAAAGCTGATTGCCTAGGAAAGTGTGGATCTTCCATCCTGGGTGGCTTGGAAAAACAGGCTAGACAAATACTTATTAGGGAATTATTTAAGTTGATAGGATCCTGCTCCAGGACTGAGAGGTGGATTAGTCGCTCTCTCTCAAGATCCTTTCTAAATTGGTTCTTATATTTTAATTTCATGGTGTGCATGAAGCGCCTGTCTTCTGCAGCATTTCCATGTTTCCAGAAGCAGAGGAGGGTGATAATATGATACTCACACTCTATGGGGATGGAAGGCGCATGCTGGGAATGTCAGAGAAATTTGTGAGGAGAGAAAAGCTAGAAATCCAAACTTGAAACCAGCATTGGCAGGAAGGTGAGAAGGGGATGCGTTCAAAAGAAAAATGTTCAGCAGAAGAAAGATGCACATCTGGGCTAGGGCATGGACAAAAATAGTATGTGAATTTGTCATACAGGTTTGTGGCAGAAAATACCAGTAGGTTTTATAGAATAATTTAGCTTGGAAAACACGCTTAAGATCATTGAGTCCAACCATCAACCTAACACTGCCAAGTCTACCACTAAACCATGTCCCTAAGCGCCACACCTACACATCTTTTAAATACTGTCAGGGATGGTGACTCTACTACTTCCCTGGGCAGCCTGTTCCAATGCTGGATAACCCTTTCAGTGAATAAGTTTTTCCTAATATCCAGTCTAAGTTGCCCCCCCGGCACAACTTGAGGCCGCTTCCTCCCATCCTAAGAGCCCAAATATAAGTATATGTCATCAAAGCATAAAGCCAATGAATCAGGTTTACATCACAGCTGAATCACCCAGGTCAGAAAGCTCTGTAATAAGTAAGAAACGTGGAAAAGGTGTGAAAAAGGAAAGAAAATATAGAAAGGGCTGGGCCTACAGAGCTTGCACAGGAGGTGCTGGGGAAAAGCCTTATACAGACCTAACTGGTGTGGAAATGGAAGGACATGCTCAAGGGAGAACGATGATGATGCTTTTAAGAAAGAAGAAGTGAGATTAGAGCTAAGGATAAACCCTCTGATGGTGAGATCAGCTGGGGCCTGAATGAGCACCCTGTTCCTGTGATGAAACACTTGAGAACATGCCAGAAGGACAGTGTGTGCCTGGGTCGAGGGCGAAGCTGACGCAGCCCTGGGACTCGGGAAGCATGCTGCAGCTGCCAGCCCTCCTCCCTCACAGTTAACTGTGGCTTTGGGGGATGGCAAAACCATGACAAAAGCTCTCCTTCCATCAGCTGGGAACCCAGCAAAGCACTTTCTGCAATGGCGGACAAAAACAAGAACCCAGACAGAGGCCTTTGCGATGCAATTGCTCAGCTTAGAGGCACAGCTCACATTGGCAATCTAAATAATAGAATCATAGAATGGTTTAGGTTGGAAAGGACCTTGAAGATCATCGAGTTCCAACGCCTCTGCCATGGGCAGGGACACCTACCACTAGACCAGGTTGCCCAAGGCCACGTCCAGCCTGGCCTTCAACACCTCCAGGGATGGGGCCTCAACAGCCTCTCTGGGCAACCTGTTCCAGTGCCTCACCACCCTCAAAGGGAAAAACTTCTTCCTAATGTTTAATCTAAACCTGCCCTCTTCCAGTTTATAGCCATTCCCCCTCATCCTATCACTACATGTCCTAGTCAAAAGTCCTTCCCCAGCTCTCCTGTAGGCCCCTTTAGGTACTGGAAGGCCGCAATAAGATCTCCCCGGAGCCTTCTCTTCTCCAGGCTGAACAACTCTCTCAGCCTCTCCTCACAGGAGAGGTGCTCCAGCCCTCGGATCATCCTCATGGCTCTCCTCTGGACGCACTCCAGCAGGTCCATGTCCTTCAATGTGTTCTTCAAATACAACTGATGGATCTCACTAAATGCCTCGTTTGCAGATATCCTGGTTTGCAGACACCCTTTGAGGACCTGGACATATTTATGTGAGATTCACTGGGTGTCACTAACTCTGTGAAATCACATCTGACTCAGGAAGCCCCCACACTGAAGCAGACGAGGCTGGCAGAGTATAGAATCATAGAATCGTCTAAGTTGGAAGGGACCTTGAAGATCATCAAGTCCAACCATCAACCTAACATTGCCAAAACCACCACTAAACCATGTCCCTCAGCACAGAATTCACAGAATTCACAGAATTCACAGAATGGTTAGGGTTGGAAGGGACCTCTGGAGATCATCTAGTCCACCCCCCCCTGCCAGAGCAGGGTCACCTACAGCACGTTGCACAGGACAGCGTCCAGGCGGGTTTTGAATGTCTCCAGAGTGGGAGACTCCACCACCTCTCTGGGCAGCCTGTTCCAGTGCTCCACTACCCTCAAAGTAAAGAAGTTCCTTCTCATGTTAAGATGGAACTTCCTATGTTCAAGTTTATGCCCATTACCCCTCGTCCTATCACTGGGCACCACTGAAAAAAGACTACTCCCATCCCCCTGGCATCCTCCCATTAAGTATTTGTATGTATTAATAAGATCCCCCCTCAATCTTCTTTTCTCTAGACTAAAGAGACCCAAGTCCCTAAGCCTTTCCTCATAAGAAAAGTGCTCCAGTCCCCTAATCATCTTCGTTGCCCTTTGCTGGACCCTCT